GGAAAGCAAATGGATTGTACATATGGGATGGGGCAGCACAGGACAGATCCTGGCGTGCAGTGCAAGTGCAGTATGCTTCCCACTTCCTGGCCGTGTGACTTTCTTCCGAGTCTTGCAGGTACGTGTCAGGCCCAACATTTGACGCTTCTTTCTGCTGGCAACTTTATCTCGGGATACGTAGTGTAGGTACTTTGCAGTCTGTGTCGAAAGCATGGGGGGGTTTCTTTCTTGCGGCGTGTTGCGGACGAATCGAATTGGCGGCTCCTCTTTCCCCTCCTCATTCACTTCCCTCCACTTCAATACTCCGTACATACACTACGGATACATCGACTTCCTCACTGACGAACGAACCAAGGGCACAATCCCCCCCCAAAAGAGCCCCCGTGCCCCCCCTTCTCTTTGCCTTGTCCCCTGCCAGTTGATGACAGCAGTGTCCGGGTGGGCACTGTGGAGGTTGTTTCAATCTTGCACACCCTTGCTCGAAACGCATCAATACATTGACGTGCCTTACGTCAGTGGTAGCCATCGAGAGACGCCCTGGGATCCATTTGGAGAGTTAAACGCACGCCGCACCACCCTTCCCTCTTTTTCACGCCCCCGCCTTAGTCCTTCCCTCCCCCCGTCGTCAGAGAGTGCCCCTGCTCTTTCTCTCTCTCAAGTTGTTCAGGATCCGTCTGAGAGAGGTATTTCTTGGCGCTCTCATCGACATTGGCGTATGGTTGCTTATTTCATCGCAGGCAAAGGAAGGGTGGGAGGAGACGGACGGGCAGCAGGAAGAACAAGAAGAAGGTATCCGGTACAGCCCTCGGGCCCACTTTGTCTGATTCTTTGCGCTTTTCTCCAAGGCTCACCCCTACATTTTGCCCTTTCAAACGCCCACGCTACCTCTCGAACCCGCCCTGGTCTCTACTCTTCGCAAGGATGCCATTGATATTGTTTGAATGCCAGTGGGTGGGACGCCCCCAAGCGAACGAGCGTTGAACGCAGTATCCGTATGAATGCCAGATGCGAATTTGCGTGCGTTGGAGTGGGAAAGAGACAAGAGAGAGAGAGGAAGACATGAAGGACCGATCCAACGACGACGAGAAGAATGCGCTCACAGCATTAGGTTCATTGCAACCTGGGTATCCATACGGAATACTGGTATCCGTACTTTTCCAATGGCTTTGGAGAGACCGGAGACTCTTTCCCAGCAATTTGGCGGGAGCCACTTGAGAGGAGCCAAAGCCGGCATCTCGACGCCCGTGATACGCTGTGGTTGGTCTCGTCGATGGAGTATGGGCAAAATATCACCATTCAGAGCCTTTCTCTTGGTCTGCCCTCCACTCTTTTTACTTTCATGCCCGTCTTGACACTTTCACACTTTCCCGAGTGCAGAGACCGCAGAACGCGATGCCATCACAGGGCACGCAGGCACGCTCGCACACCACCACCACCACATCCATCATTCTTTGGCTCCTTTCAGCCAGCGGGACGGCGAGTGCTGTCATCAGGCATTTAGCTTCGCAAGGAGGAGGATGGTATCAAAAAGTCGTTGGACCGGAATACATGGTCCCCTACCCCGGCCCTGGAGCCATTCCCCTCTCAGATATCGCGATATCCATCTCAGCCCAAGGGGACTTTGTGGCGACACTGGCGAGCAAGCGCCGTTCCGAGTCAAGCCATGGCAGGTCTGAATCTGGACATGATGCTGGCTGACTACGTATCCGGTATGGCGTAGATGGCACCTACCTAGGGTCGGAGAATCGAGTTTGATGTATTTGGTTCCCCTTCCTTTGCTTTGGCAGAGAAAGACCCTGCATATCTCATCTCTATTCTACAGGCATTGGCGATTGATTAACTCATGGCTTGGACGTCAGGCAAGCCAGCCGTCAGAATCCACCTACGATTAACTTGGGAATAAGTCTTCTTTCCCTACCCCTTCGCCCTGACTATCCTATCCATACGTATCCGTCATGGTCGCAGGAGAAGAACAGATATCAAAGCGCACACCACACCCTTTCTCTACCCTGACCAGACCCGATGCTAGTATCCGTAGCCAGCATGGGGACTCTACAAATCTGCACTTCTGGTCTGCCTTTCGTAGATGCGCGAGAAAGGAGAGTCTGCCCACCAACTCGAACCCCCATCCCGTCCCATGCCATGGCATTCCATGCCATGGCCGCCCCTCCCATAGTCTCCGTGCCCTTGCCTACCCATCATCAGTGGCGCTTTTTTGGCTTCTTCTGTTTCTTCTTACCCCGAGGGAGGCGCAATGCGTATCCGCATGCCCTAGACGCCGTGACGCCGTACTCTATCCTACGTTACGCTGAGTCCTGACCTTAAGTCGACTAGCCTGTGCAGAGGCTAGTGTTGAGCTGCTCGGATTGGAAGAGATTGGGGGGGGGGGGGACAGAGCTCTTGCCCGTGGCATGGCGCTAGAGGCGATGGCGAGCGGGAGAGACAGATACCGGCACCTTGTGGACTGGGGGGCTTTTCTCTCCATGCTGGTGCACGAATAATCTCACCTTGCCATACTATGCAGTAAGGTAGGTAGACCTACTAAGTCTCCGTACAGTACTTTGGTAGGTAGGCGAAAGGGCAGCATATGCTCGAGCGTGCTAGCCTTGCCCAAAGTATAGACGACGTACTCGGGTACTTGGGACGGGACGTGGTCGAGGCGTCGACAGCCGCGCTTTACATTGGTAGTTCTACCCGTCAGACTTGGTACCTGCGTGGCGCACGCCTGACTTGGACGGTACAAGCCTGAGCCCGGCTCTTCACCCACAGGTTTCCGCATCTGCAGTGCGTGCGGATACCGCTTTCTCTGATGTACGAAGTATAGGTGCCCTCTCAGTCTCCTCACTCACTGGATAAAGACTCTGAGAGGGGAGAGAGAGAGAGAGGTGTGTGTGTGCGTGCACACTTTCTCTTGCCTGGCTTAGGACAGCCGGGTATCCACTTCCCATGGTCCCTGCCTGTCTTTCCCCCCTCACTCCTCCCACTCCTTCTCACTTACCCACACCCTCCTTCCCTTCCGTTGTCTTCCTTCCCTCCTTCCTTGCCCGCCCCCCCTTACCCCCGGTCGAACCCCCATCTCTCTTTCTTTACTAAAGTGACCCCACCACACGTCCTCTTCCTCTTCTTGTTGCTGCAAAAAAAAAAAACACCCCCTCTCCACCGGTCTTCCCACCCCACCCCTTCACCTCATCGCTCCACACAAGGCACTTTAACACCAAGTAAAGCGACATCATAGCTTCATCTGCTGTCTCTCCTGCCTGACCCGGAAGCACCATAGGATGTAAAAGCGTTGTTCCCTCGCCTCCCTCTTTGCGAATTCTACACCTTGACCCAATTTTTTTTTTTGAACGCTCATCATCAGAGAGATCATCAGCTCCATCATCCAACCTCAAACCAAACCACGCATTACAGACACGCGCTCCGCCTTCTTTCCTGCTTGCCCTGTGCTTTCGGTTCGTCACAACTGAACAGAAAGAGATAGAGAGCGCATTGAGAGGCAGCAAAAAAAATAAAAAAATAACAAGAAGCAACTACTTGTCTTCACACTGCCCCCGTATCTCACTCTCTCTCACACATAACCAGAAGGAGGGAAGAATATTGGTACCTTTCGCACCAAAAAAAGCATCGCACTACGTACACTACGTACACACACATACACACACACACACAACACGGGACAGACCCACTATTTGCGAACTTGAGGAAAAAGGGAAGGGGAAAGGAAAAAAAAAAAAACACCAACGCACCTCCAATTATCGGTCGTCTTCTCCCGGCTGACTTCAGAGCCGTCCGCACTTTACACCGCACTACTGAACTACACCTGGGGTCCCTGTCCAGGCTCCTCAATTGACCTCGAGACTTTTCACCAAACCGTCCTCGACACCGCAGATCTTTCTCCCATTTCGACTTCGTCCCAGGGACGTACTCCAGGTCTCCTCTTCTTCCACCTGGTCAACTTGTCAAAAATTGGGCCACCATCTCTTTCTCTCTCTCTCTCCTCTCCCATTCTCATCCACCATCCCACATCCTCACTCACTCTACACACCTCTAAACCCACGCTACGCACTACCGCGCATGCGCTCCGCTCTCGCTGGTCTACACCTACTTCGTACACTACCTTACGCTACGCAGTACCTCACTACTGTACCTCACAACCTGGTCGTTCCCTCCCTCAAGGCTCCTCCTCCTCAGCCTGCCCCCCGGTCCTAATCTGAACCATCCTGCTACCCTACCTAATCGCCCCCAACCCTGTCCGCCTCGGCCTCTTTCCCACGGGATATTGGCGCTGTCGATCACTCTGAGTCGGAGTCGTCACAGCTGTCTGCAGAGAACGGGTCTCCACACAACTCCCATGTCCCGCTGACCACTGTGCAACAAGCTTCATACGACTCTTGCCTGGTCGGCCCAAACGATTGGTCTCAGCTCTCAACTGGTTCAAATACTCGTGTGTCAGTAGTCCACAGGCACACACTTAAACCTCGCTGATCCCCCAACCTCAACTCATCCAACTCCCACGGGATCATCCAGTTCTATCTGATCCGTAACACGACTTGGCTTTTCTCAAAGCCGTTGCACTTGCATCCGATCAGCAAACGCTATTCCACCGGACATCTACCTTTGTTGACGCTCAACCTCGTCATCCCATCTCACCACTACCTACACCACAACCTCTCATTACCACCACCACCACCACCAACCATACCATCATGACTATGACATTAGATTCTCAGCAACGATTCGGACCCTTAAACACATTCGACCACATGTCTTCCTACGCACATTCATCCTCCTCCTCCCCCCAGTTCTCAAACCCGTGGGCAAACACCTCAGCACCTCAAGCTCCTCAGGGCTTGTATGCCCCTCACCACGGTCACTCTCTCAACTCGGGTCTGGGTTTGGACAGGTCACACACTGCTAGGACCAGCACCAGCAGCAATGCCTCATCTTTGGGTTCCTACGGACAGATCCCAGTGACGGCAGCTTCAGCAGGTAGTCTCCCCATGGCAGACCCTCTGCCTAGGTCGGACTTACTCACTCTTCCCCAAGATATCCTCAGTATCAACCGCATGGCTGCCACCTCGGCCCCTGCCTACGGTGATGCTCCCTACGCGACCGCCGCTTCCCCCGTGAACGCCACTTACACGGCTTCTCCCACCCCCTACGAGACCATGGGCTACGCACCTGCTCCCATGCGCTCTACCTTCGCCCTTGCTCCGGAACCCGAACACTCTCGGAGATTCTCTCACTCGTCAGTACCCTCAACTTCCCTGGTCGACGTTACAAACCCCAATGTTCTGGCCCGGCCCCATCGCAACTCAATGATTGACTTTGACAACAGAGGACTTCACCACCACGATGAGCGCAGGAGCTTCGCCGATGCCCTCGACGCAAGCCACGGCATGCTCGCCATGAGCCAGGAGACCCCACGCAACATCTATGGCGCTCGCAGCGATAGGGCTTCAGGTGATTCCTACGGCTTCCCTTCCACGCACTCTACCAGCTCTTCCGTGTCCTCCGCTTCTGGGTTCGGCAACTACTACGGCGCCGACTCTGTCAGCGACTACTCTACTGCTGGCTCAGACATCGAGTCTGTCACCTCCCGGACTCTGCCCAGGCCCCATGGACTCATGGCACCCCAGATCCCGCCTGCGCCCCAATCCATGATGGGCCAGTTCAGCTCCAAGGTGTCGTCCAGCACGCAGAAGAAGCACAAGTGCAAGGTTTGCGACAAGCGATTCACTCGCCCTTCCTCTCTTCAGACGCACATGTACAGCCACACGGGCGAGAAGCGTAAGTTACACTCATTAATCTACAAGCCAAGGCATATTTCCGGATTTCACACACTAACATCATTATAGCCTTTGCCTGCGAAGTCGAAGGTTGCGGTCGTCACTTCTCCGTAGTCTCAAATCTGCGGAGGCACAAGAAGGTCCACAAGGGCGACACTCGCTCTGAGGCTGGTTCTGAAGACCACCATTCCGATTAATCGGACTCACCTCGCCATATCCACATGTACAACAAGCTGTAACGGCAACATTGTTGTCCTCGAAATAATCCTCGGCGGCGAGTAGGATTAGTACGAGCTCACGAGTTTTCCCGGTTCGAGTCATGACCAACAGTCTATACCCACTCTCGACACCAAAACACCCTCCACATTTGCGAGTGGCTCAACAAAGGGTTGTGATTTTTCAAAATTTCTTATAGACGGTCTTCATTTTTTTTTATCGGTTTTCACACGATACCATTCTTACAATCGTTATAATATCCATCTATCTGCGAGCGAAAGAGACAAAAGTCGGGCGGCGGCACAGGAATTGGCGGGCGGGTTGTCACTTTCGGATCATCGTCATAAAGGGTGTCTCATGATATGTTGGAGATCTTTACCAATTTTTTTGGCTTATTTTTTTTGCCTGCGACCGTTCGATCCCGCGGGCTCCGGAATGATGTGGCCGAGTCAACGGCGCCTCATGGTTTTGAGGTACGCACAGGAAGGGGGGATTGCAGGAGGAGAAAGGGGGACAAGGGCGCGGATTCACTTCACTGTCGATCGCTCAACCCCACACCACACAACCCCCAGGATATGGGCCAGGTTGGTGGCTGGACCAGCCACATTCTTGTGCATTTTCGGTTTTCAAGTGTTTGAAAGAGGAAGAAGATCTCCAAGAGGTCATGGAGGACCTGGCGATACCCTCACCCTTGGCGTTGAACGGATACTGGGCTGCACTTTTGTTTTCCTGCGTTTTGTTTTTCATCATCCGTTATTTTGTTGCGCGCTCATCATGTCTTTCAGCCCAGTGGGATTTGCTGCCAAAAGGGTATTTTTTTTTCTTTTTCTTAGATGACGAACCCAGAGGTTGGTGCCTTGGCGGCACACCTCGCCAAAACTCGACCCTGTTCCCAAAGCGGGAGGGCGACTTGTACTACTAGCTTCCACACACGATGATTATACCCATCATACTAAGAAATGCCACTGCATTTTCTAGTTTGCATCGTCTGGGACTTTTTTTCCTTTGGATCTTTTGAGACTGCTGCAACATGTCCCCCGTGACTTGAGCGGCGAAGGCGGCGGTGGGCAAAGGAATGGGTTGTGATTTCAGAAACCAGCTATTGGATTGGCTGGTAGTATCACTGGATATGGGGTTTAACGCACACTAGTACATTGCGAACAGTATAATATAATAGTAGTACGAGTACGAATTTCAAACGAGAAGATTCACATCAACCATCTATCTGCGCCCATTCCATATACGTGCTCCCCGCGCATCCGAAGGTGAAGGCTCGAAAACTTGATAGATCTGCAACGCAAGATCAGACCACCTCTGATGCAATGAAGCTCCCTGGGCTTGTAGGAACGTTCGATCGATTAGTTGCAGGTGGTCAAGCATCAAATAGATGGCGCGGCACCGAGGGCACGGGGGGGGGGGGGGGAACGGTTCCTCTCCTCCCTCTGCCTTTTGCATCAAGATGGGGAAAACGACAATCTGCATCCCCAAGCAGCCTTGCCCCCGTGCCCCAATATGCCCCGGCCGGGCCCCAAAAGCACCATGCCTGCCATCTCATCACATATGCATCTCTCCCCGCAATGGGGATGAAGCCGAAGCTTGAGATGAATGGGATGTGTGATTTTGGGGGGCTTGGACCGTGGGACGGTTCGGCTCTCACCGACTCGCCACCTGCCATGCGATGCGGTCTATTCGGGCAATGATATCCCAATGTCATGGCCCTGAAATTTGAAGGATTGGTAGGTATTCCGTGGTCTAGTGGTTCAACCACGGCGCGCGCGCCTTTGTCTCATCGCAAACCCAATCGCTTCCGCCGAGTGCGGAAGCTGAAAGTGTGTGTATACTGCCGGCCGGCACCGCATATGCGTGTGTCACAACCCAATGGTAGGGATAAGCCTATGTGAGCGTCGGGCTCACTGCCTTTCTGACAAAACCCAGGGCACTGCCAGGCACCCAGGAAAGCGCCATGTTTTTGATAGAAGGAGGGGGGCTCTTTGGGAAAAGGGGAAAGAGGCTGCGTCGATCTCCAAGAAAGGGGGGAGGGGGTTGTGCGAGTGTTCATGTGAAAACATGGGAGAAGCTGCCGCGTGGTCAGCGATCGGCGCGCAGTTGCGTCCGGTACGCGGGGCGCACTCACACACACACATATGTGGACATGCTTGGTATGTGCTAGCTAGGTATTTGGATGGGATTGCGCCCATGGTCAGATAAGATCATCCATCTTGAACGTGGCTCACGACTGAGTGGATTGGACGCTGCCGAGGGGGAGGCAAAAACCGACAAAAAGTCCTGATGGAAGTGGAGGCTCAAGGCGCGACGTTGTTGTTGTCGTTACTGGCCTTGGTCAAGGTCACCTGGTCCGGGCATGTTAGCGGCGACTTTGTTTTTGGAACAAGGCGCCGTTGCGGCAACTGAGTCGAACGCGGCGACACGGAAGGGCGGCTAAAAGGGAGGGGGGTTGACTCGCCATGATGGAGGCGTTTCGGGGCGGAGACTCGGGGAGGCTACGGAAAGAGGCTAACGAAGACGGGGACGAAGCAACCTTGGGTTACGTAGATAGAGGGGGAGCGCTATCAAGGATGGATACTTGCTTACGTAGTTCACGGAGTCCTCAAGGGGATCTCACCAAGACGGCACTAAGCCAACTTTGCTGTGAAGTGACGGATGGCGTATGGGCCAAAACGGAGATGACTAATTTAGTGCCATGTACGACGTGGTGTAAGTTGTAGCAAGAAGAGACGGATCCCAAAAAGGCCACTAGAATGGTCAATCTGCAATTCTGCCGCAGACACTAAGTCGTGTTGTATGCCCGTCCGTTGGAGCTAATGTATAGTACGAGCCGACCAAGAGGGGGGAATGGGGGACAAGAGACGGGAAGACCAATATGAGAGAGGATACGAGTTGGGAGATCGCGCATGCACTGGAGGACTGACAGGTTTGGGAGGTCTCAGTGCGGAGCATCCCGAGTATGTGAGATGCAAAAGAGGAGAGCACCTTATCATTCGTTATGGGATGGAGATTGATGGAGACTGGGAATGGTGAGGGAAACTCTGTCATTGATAATGTGTGGCATTCCACTAAGGACTGCGAAGACGGGGGACTGGGGTTCTTGGGAGAAGGGAGCAAGGAAGTAGAGCTCCGCTGAACTGGATAAGTTGGAGATGGATGGGCTGGGGATGACGATGTAGGAACCGTAACAAATGGAGACTGCGGACCTTTGTGCTGCAAGTGGTGGGCAGGCCAAGGCAAAGGCCATGCAAGATGAGGCAAGCCTCAAAGTGAACCAGATGCCTGCCTATGTACGCAGTGTGTGCTTGGAAAGACAAGCTATCATACAAAAGCCTGATGGCAGATGTGAGAGGTGGAGAAAGTGAACCAAAAGTATGTGCCCACACCGTTGTCGTCGCGGTTGTTGTTGTAACTTGTCGTTCTCAGCATCGAATTGCCTCATCCCAGCCGCAAGCCCCAGCTCTCCCATCATCCCGCGGGGCGACACGAAGAGCCAACTTGGGCGCAACCAGAGATGAAGGGAAAAGTGGATGCGCGTGTTTCAGCAACATGTCAGACTCCGCACATGGGCACGCGTCGAGCAGCGAGCTTCTGTTTGCTGGGATTCGGCTCCAAGGCGAGCTCTGATCATTTCCTGCTCGAGAGATATCCTGAAGTTAAGCTCGATCAAGCTTCGTGGTGGGCTGAACAGGAGTGATTGGATGACATTGCCTTGGGCGGGGCGATCTTGGAAGAGACGGATCCCGGCGGTGCTGAAGTTTGAACTGTGGACTATGCTGGGGACGTTTTAAAATCTGATGCCTGGCGGTTTGGGCCATAATGTCGGTCATGTATCCGTCCAAAGAACGACGCATGTACACTTGAAGAGAGGTCCATTTTGATCATGAATACTTCGATAGCGCCTTCGTCCTTAGGTATACGCAGCGGAGCCATTCGGACGGCATTTGGTGACTTGGTCCGGCCCAACTTATCGAGACGGTCGGCCTGAGTAGTTTCTGAGAGGGCTCCTCTGGAGTTGCTAGAGCCGGGCTCTCTGTCCGTACAAGATAAGATAGCAACCCCACTGCACACGACGTCTTTGTTTGATCCTCAAGGAGCATGGTGAGGTTACATCCAGTAGGACCGGAGCGCCAAATGTTCCGTACTACCGTACCCGTACCGAGCCGGACCAAAAGCAGCAGGAAAAGGGCACAATGGCCCAGCACCTGGCTGGGGTTTCTGCTCGCGAGGCACCCGATTCGATGGAACCAAACAATCTCCAAAACATGACTTCTCTGGAGCTTGATGTTCCCATGCCATCCCTGAATTCCATGGTGCTAGGTTTCGCTGGACATTCCACGGAGCCTGGAGGACGACTAGCAAATGAGGCGACAAGGCGAACATTTCCAAGCTTTGCCGGACGACCGACGATCCGCCAGGTACCGACACCGACACACACTCATGTCCATCCTTCAGCGGATACGCGCGTGACAAGTCTCTAAGCCTGCCGTGACCGGCTTTCCTACCCCAGATCACGGGAACGGGAATGTCCAGTTGCGGTTCTGCAAGGATTCTGCCATTACACCATCAGAATGATCTTGTGCTCGAATCGTGATGTAGTCCGTTGCTAGCCCATGGAAGGGTTGCGTGAAATAATGGATGCCCTGAGTGCCAGATGCGAGGCGATGCTGAGCAAGCGAGAGACGATATTGCTTGGCATCCATCTTGAGAGCGCCTTTGTCCACCATCCGAGATTTGTGATGGCATGCGGAGGTTCCGCCCAACTAGCGAGGTAGCATGCGGTACTCGAAATGTAGCGGGCGCGCCAACGACGGCAGCGCAACGGCAAAAAGCTGGCGAGGCACCAAAGTGGCCGCAGCCGACCATGGAAGGTGAAGGCCCTCGAGAGTTCGTGCTCCCCAAGTCTCAAGGACTACTGTGTTGTGTAAGACTCCGTCATCGAGATATCAACGCACGAGACACACGGCTGCTTCAA